TTCGGTGGAGGAAGCGAGTGTAGAAGGAGACAGACTCGTCAAAGGTGACGTTACACGAGTGATGGAAATGGTGAGACAACGGGTGGTAGAAGTGCCAGTCAAAGGTGTCTAGGGGGAAACCAGGGAAGACACAAGGGACGGTGCGGGCGGTGAGCTTGACGCGAGAGTCGCGGACGTGAGCTAGGCAGCCCCAGACGTGAAGCGCAAACGCAGAGACCAGTGTGACTTGCAGGGGCCGGTGCGGCGAGCAGGGGCTAGCACGGCTAGCAAAGGTTGGCACGGCGAGGAGAGGCCGGCACGACGAGCTGGAGCCGGCGCGGCTAGCTGGTGCCAATGCGGCGAGCTGGGGTGGCGCGACGAGCTGGAGCTGACGCGACGAGCGGGGGCGGCGCGGTGAGCTGGGGCGGCATGGCGAGCTGGGGCCGGCATGACGTACTGGGTCCGGCGCGGTGAGCTGGGGTCAACGCGGCAGGCTGGGGCGGTGCAGCGGGCTGGCGCCGACGCGGCGAGCTGGGGCCGACGCGGCGAGCTTGGGCCAGTGTGGCGAGGAGAGGCCAGCGCGTCGAGGAGGGGCCAGCGGCGAGCTAGGGCAGACGCGACGGGCAGGGGCCAGCGCGGTGGGCTAGGGGCCAGCACAGGCAGCTGGCTAGGAGCCAGCGTGGCGCGGTGAGCTAGGGTCCAGCACGAGGTACAGATATAAGGTCCATTGCAGTGTAGTTAGCTGGGGCGGACGCGACGAGCAAAGGGCCAGTGCGGCGGGCTAGGGCCAGCGCGGCGAGCTAGGGCGAGCGCGGCTCGGCAGGCTGGGGCAGGTGCGCGCTAAGGGCAGGGCGCTCTAGGTGGCGGGGCGCTCTAAGGGGCGAGGCGCTCTAAGGGGTGAGGTGCTCAATGTAATTGTATAAGTTGACAAGGGGATGAGTGGTTCTGGCTGTTGATTGCAACAGATTGCTTATGTTGTGTGGGTAGTGCAAACACTACCATACCTTCTCGCAACGACTGGTGATATTGCAATGCTTGAGTTTTGAGACCTTTCAAAACTGAACTACACACCGTACCTTCCTGCTACACTAACTGCTCGTATTGCAATGATTGAGTGAAGCATGTACCAGCAGAATGCAAAGTAGAACTGAAGACCTGCAAGAACGGCAGATAAATGGAGCACATAAGAAATACAGCTCTGTTCAATTGTACTGGATTACTTCTAGTATAATAGAAGGCTCACGGTACACCATTGGTACTCATGAGTCATGAATCATCAGTTATCTCTGTCAACTTATACAATTGTTTTATTTGTCTAGTTATAGGCTAGACATGTATTTGCTGTTAGAGAGTACAACACACAACTCATATAACAACATGTATGCCCTTATTTAGGCGAATGAGTTAGTCTGAGATGGTATCTGCTAGGTTAGGCCTACCCACCTGCGCTTCCGCCCTAGCCTGACCTAGTCCCCTCGCACCACCCTAGCCCGCCCACAAGCCCTTCGCGCATCGCGTGACCTTTCGCGAGCCGCATGGCTCCTAGCCTGCCGCTGGCCCCTAGCTCGCCCCCGACCCCTTGCTCGACGGCCTCAGCTCGCCGGCCCCTGCTCACCAGCCCTAGCTCGCCGGCCCCTGCTCACCGACCCCTTCTCGCCGGCCCTCACTCGTCGGCCCTAGCTCGCCGGCCTCCGCTCGCCGGCCTCCGCTCGCCGACCCCAGCTCATCGGCCCCTGCTCGCTGCCCTAGCTCGCCGACCCTAGCTCCCGCCGGCCCCAGCTCGCGCCGGCCGTAGCTCGCGCCGGCCCCAGCTCCTGCCGGCCCCAGCTCCCGTCGGACCCCTGCTCACCGCCGACCTGCAGCCAGCCTCTGCTCGCTGCACTGCCCACCTCGCTGCCGACGCCAGCTGCCGCGCTGCCCTTGTTGTTTGCCGGCCCCTTCCCGCTGCCAGCCCTAGTTCCACTTTGAGCGCTTCCGCCGGCTTTCGGCGCTTCCGCTGGCTTTCTCCTCTGCCCCAGCTTCACCGCTCTCCACCGCTCTCCACCGCTCTCCACCGCTCTCCACCACTCTCCACCCCTCTCCACCGCTCTCCACTGCTCTCCATAGAAACTGCCTACCCCCTACTCCTCCTCCAGCTTCTGCCGCTGAGTCCGCTGCAGCTTCGTCAGGGTAAGGGCCGCCGCCCCAGAGGGGGGCGTGGCAGAGGGAGGGGTGATGGGAGTGGCGGGGGTGGCGGAGGTGGTGGAGGTGGTGCGAGTGCCAGTGGTACAGTTGAGGGGGCCAGAGCTGATGCCTCGGTGTAGCAGCAGCAACAGCACCAGTCGCAGCAGCAACCGTGGGGACCCCCACCGCCGTGGTGGCCTGGTGGCTTTGGTGCCAGTTCCAGCCCTGTGAGTTGCCAGTACCAGCTCCAGACTGGTCCCTCTCGTGGCACCATGTGCAGCCGTTCTCATCACACCGCCGCCCGCTGCTACCGTCACCTCGACGACCTCTTCTGTCTCCGCTTCGACCCCGGGTTGGACCACCCAGACTGTCGCAGCCTGGTACGGTGCCGTGTGCCTGTCTTATGGATCAGATTTGCTCTGCTTTAGATGCCATGTATTTTGATGACTCTACTATGACTGGACCTTTTTACCCTATGTTGCCTAGCGTAGGTGTATCCACTGTGTGTAGTCTAGGCTCCCCAACTGTGTCGACGTAGGTGCAAGTGGATCTCCAAGATGCCATCTCTGCACCCATGGCAACTATCCACTGAGAGGCACAGGGTCTTGAAGTCTCCTTAGCGTAGGTGCGAGGGGTCGGGATCTCAAGAGCGTTTGGGTCACCCTCAGGGGCTAATAGCATAGCGCAGTGATGAGGAGCAGCCTCGGACAGGAAAGCTAGCTCATACTGCGTGTCCTCTAGGTTGTCATTGCAAAGGGAAACTTCACCCCAGGCGAACTGAGAACGGGTAGGGTCAGAGACCAGTGCAGTGGCGTAGTTAAGGCGGCAGGTAGAGGCAAAGCCAGTCTCGACGCTCTTGTCGCTGCCATCGCTGACTTTGCCTCTATCCGCCGCCTTGACTACACCACTGCTCTGGTCTCTGACCCTGCCCGTCCTCAGTCCGCCGGGGGTGCACATGCTCTTGGGAGTGACGTCCTAGAGGACAGGCAGTACGAGCTAGCTTTCCTGTCCGAGGCCCCTCCTCATCTCTGCTCCATGCTGCTAGCCCCTGAGGGTGACCCAGGCGCTCTTGACATCCCGACCCCTCGCACGTATGCTGAGGCGACTTTGGGACCTTGGGCCTCTCAGTGGATAGCTGCCATGGACGCGGAGATGGCATCTTGGAGATCCACTGGTACCTACGTCGACGCAGTTCCCCCACCTGGGGTGAACGTAGTCGATGGCCGGTGGCTCTTCAAGGTGAAGCGCCCTCCTGGAGAGCCGCTGGTGTTCAAGGTGCGCTACATTGCTAGAGGCTTCAGTCAGCGCCAGGGTGTTGACTTCTTTCAGACCTTCGCCCCAACCTCGAAGATGACCACTCTTCAAGCGCTGCTTCACATAGCAACACAGCGCGACTACGAGATGCACTCCCTCGACTTCTCCACAGCGTTTCTCCAGAGCAGTCTGCACGAGCAGATCTACCTGCGCTGCCTGCAGGCTTCTGTGGCACTTTCTCTCCTGGGACCGAGTGGTTCCTTCGGTGTCTGGTTCACGGTCTGTGGCAGGCACCCCGTGAAGGCTGAGCTGCTGAGGAGATGCACCTGCACTGACCTAGGAGAGCTGCGCCACTAGCTTGGCCTACAGATATCCAGGGACAGAGCAGCGCGCACCATCACTCTCACACAGTCACACTTGGTGCGCCAAATTCTTAAGAGGTTTGGCCTTCAGTTATCCTTCACACAGCCTACACCTCTGCCAATAGATCACAGACTCTGGCTCCGGTCCCTGACGAGTCGCTCCGGTCCTTGACAAGTCGGTTGAGCCCAGTGATCTGTACGCAGAGCTTGTGGGCTGTCTCATGTACCTGATGACTTGCACTCATCCAGATCTCGCATACCCTGGCTTGACTTGTTGCGACAGGCAGACACCGACCCCAACACTAGTCGGCCGCTAAGAGGGTGTTGCGCTATCTAGCAAGTACATCGGGCATGGAGCTAGTGTTGGGAGGACGCAAGCTAGTGGTCCTCACAGAGCACACAGGCGCTTTGTGGGCAGACGATGCTGAGACTCTCAGGTCATCCCAAGGCTACTACTTTAGCCTTGGTGCAGGTGCTATCTCGTGTAGCCTTGGTCCGCTCGTCGTCTGTTGCACAGTCTAGTTGTGAGGCTGAGATCTACGCTGGTGCCATGGCGGCACAGGAGTTCCGCTGGCTGACGTTCCTGCTCACGGACTTATTGTAGGTGAGCAGCCTAGCTCTGCCCCGGTCCTGTACGTTGACAACATCGCCATGATCCTCATGTGCGAAGGGCCTCGACTAGGGGGCAGAGCGAAGCATATCCAGCTGCAGTAATTCCTCCTGCGCGGGCTACAGCAGCGCCACCGGTCTCACGTAGTACACTTGGCCCCCGGTGCCTACACAGCTGATATCTTTACTAAGGTGCTTGTGCCTAAAGATCATCGGCGGCACTGTGTACAGCTTGGCCTAATTCCAGTAGCTCCTCACTTGCTAGGACCCTCATTGTGTACTACTTATATTACCGTATCTGAACTGGCCTTGTGGCTCTGGTTCCGGTGGCTGGACTAGTAGTGCCACCCTGGGTTACTCTTGTTGACTGGTTTACAGACCCTTGTCTCGGAGGTTGGACTAGTAGTGCCGCCCTGAGCTGCGTGTCTCTTGCTAGGCACTGCCCCTTGTCTAGCCAAGGGGGTGCGTCAACTTATAGGTACAATTGTTATATTTGTCGAGTTATAGGCTAGACAGGTACGTGCTGTTAAAGAGTACAACACACAACTGATATAACACACTGTATGGCCTTGTTTAGGTCAATGTGTTATTCTAAGAATCTCTTGCTCAGAAGTCCGCCGCAGCCATTTGCACATCTGAAGTCGGCCTTTATTTACAAAGAACTGTGTTTCATGAAACACTTTGTGAGAACTGTGAAGTGTTTTACTGGCAATCTATGATAACTTCAAAGTAGGAGCCAGCTGTGGTTTGAACCTAAAACCTTGGTCAGCAATGACATCGTTCATTCCTAGCCCTCTAACTAACTAGATACCCGTTGCCCAAAGGCTTGGCATTGTAACATTGTAACATGATTCATTCACCTCTCCACCTTCACAATCATCTTGTTCTTCGTCCCCGACCCCAGCAGCAGCATGCTTCCCTCCACCAGATCCTCCTCCCCAGCCTCGTTATTAGGATATGCCCCCTCACCTGCACCCACTGTCCAAATCACATCTCCACCCTCACAATCATCTCGCTCTTCCTCCCCGACCCCAGCAGCAGCATGCTCCCCCCCACCAGATCATTATTGAGGTGCACACTCCCCCCCCCCCCTTGGCTGCAGCTGTTGTCTGATCACCTCACCTCTCAACCGTCACAATCATCTTGTTCTTCCCCGACCCCAGCAGAAGCATGCTCCCCCCCACCAGATCATTATTGAGGTGCACACTCCCCCCCCTCCTTGGCTGCACCTGTTGTCTGATCACCTCACCTCTCAACCTTCACAATCATCTTGTTCTTCTTCCCCGACCCCAGCAGCAGCATGCTCCCCCCCACCAGGTCCTGCTCCCCCACCACTCTCTCCCCCTCCGCCACCTTCTCATTGTTCAGGTACATCCCCCCCTGCTGCACCAGCCGCCGAGCCGCCCCCTTGCTCCCCACTAGCCTCGATGCCGCTGCCACGTCAGCGACAGATCGGCCAATCACAGCGGCCCAGGGAAGGGAGGTGGAGGGCGCGTCCGCAGCTATCGCCTCTAGTGTGGCAGGGTCTAGTCTGGTGGCGGTGGATCCTGGGGGGAAAGGGGGGAGTTGTAGGGCAAGGGGGAGAGGGGAGAGGGGTTGGAAGCATAAGAGACTAGAGTGTCAGCGTCTATGGCTTCCAGCGTGGCCAGGTCTAGTCTGGTGGCGGTGGAACCTAAGGGAGGGGGGGAAGGGAAGGGAAGGCACAACGACATCGGACAATGTATTGTTTGGGCATTCACATCGTTGGCTGGGTCTAGTCTGGCGGTGGAACCTGGGGGGGCGGGGGGGGGAGATGGGTTGGAATCATAAGAGAGTACCAGGCGCACATGGAGCTGTGGCTTCCAGCATGGCCGGGTATAGTCTGGTGGCGGTGGAAGGCAGCATCTGGTGAAGGCAAAACCCGGTGATGACAGATCTAGGTGGAGGCAACAACTGGTGCGAGGAATTACGGAGCAGGCAGTACCTGGTGCGAGGAGCAACAGAGCAGGCAGTACCTGGTGCGAGGGCTTGTGTGGCTCGTAGGGCTTCTTGTAGACCCTCCTCCCCGTGCACAAAACGAGTCACCTAGAAACGAGGACAGAAGAGAGGCAGTGTAAGAAGATCTGTCATGCTTCCTGTGGGCCCTCTTCGCCATCCACAAAACGAGTCCCCTAGAAACGAGGATGGGGGAGGGGAAGCAGGAGATGTGCAGAAAAGCGAGGGGTTCAAACAGCGCCTTTGCGAGTGCGGTGGAGTGCGGTGCGATGCGACGCAATGCAGTGCTGCAGGTCGCCCCTCTCTCCCCCCCCCTCATCCCTCACCTTTCTCTCCCTCTCACCTCTCCCATTCTCTCTCACCTCCCCCTTCTCTCTTACCTGCCCCCCTCTCGCTCACCTCCCCCTCCCGTGCCAGTAGCTTTTGAGTCGTGTTGGGCTCGTAGCCCAGCTGACGAATGGTGGGATGAAGGGCCCTATCCCTCCAAACTCCCTCACCCCTCTCTCCCTCTCTCTCTCTCTCTCTCTCTCTCTCTCTCTCTCTCTCTCTCTCTCTCTCTCTCTCTCTCTCTCTCTCTCTCTCTCTCTCTCAAGCGGTCCTTTATTATGTTTATAAGGGGTACAGAGGTACAAACAGGGTTATGTGTGTCCAAGTGTCCCCGGGCATCCTACTGCTGCCCGGGCCACCTGTCGCAGGTAGGTTCAATGGTGGCTTCCAGTTCTCCCCAGGTAAGAGGTTCGTCTAGGGGGCGGTCGTGGCTGAAAGCTTGGCCTGTCACCTGGCCAATTTTCGCATGGAGGGTGATTGCCTGCTGCCGCTGGAGGGTGACTGACCACCTCTGGCGATAGCTGTGCAGTACCTTCTTTGCCACTGCCGACTTTTCGTCGGCCTGGTGGTTCCGGCGGGCTGAGAGGGCAGCCAGTACTCGGAGGAACTCGAGTGTGTCGGGGGAGCAGCAGCCGTATGTCTCAGTGGCGACTCCCAGCACCTTCACAAAGGTGAGTCGTTCGTCGTACAGGTCCCGCTTCTTGCCCTGCATCTCTGCCGCCATCCACCCTGTCCCCTTTCGTGCTGTTGGGTCGCGGGTTGAGATGGGGTCGGTGACTGTGACGTCACAGACCCATACCGCGCCTGAGTCCGGGCATCGGAGGGTGATGTCGGCGCGGCGTTGGGCAGTTTCGGGTAAGTAGAGCGTGGATTCCATATGGGCCACGAAGTGGGATTCCCGGGCCAGTCGCATCTCGAGGTTCACGAGCGCGTCGTGGGTCCGCTTTGGACCCCCGCCCAGGGTGCACCGTAGCATGTGGTTGGGCAGCCGGTTGTCTGGTATCGCATGCTTTTCCCGGCAGTTGCATTTGCCGGGTAGGGAGTGCTGCAGGCCCATGCGGAAGGCTAGGGCCGTGGCAAATTGCCCCTTGCTCATGCTTAGGTCCGGGGAGAAGGGGATGGCGACTAGCCAGTCCCCTGCCCCTGGCCCGAGCAGGGAGAGGAGGCGCTGGGTGTGGCCCAGGAGGGGGTTGAGTGGCATGTGTCTGGAGTCTGCCACTAGCCGTGCGTGCCTGGCCCCGTGTACCTCCAATGCTAGGGCATGCTGGAGCTTGGCGCCAGGTTCGTCGCGCGGGCGGGTGAGTGTGGACTGCGCTGGTTCGGGGAGTGCCGCTTCCAGGCAGTTGAGCAGGTGGTGTAGGGGCGTTTGGGCGGTGAAGGGCGGAGTGAGGAGGTGGAGGAGGTCGGCGAGGGGTGAGGAGTCAGGGGGTTCCATGGAGCGGAGGAGGTCACCGGCCTGTAGTGCGGAGGCCAGGTAGCTGTAGCTTGTGAGAAACTCAAGTGATGATTGTATTAGGAAAAGAGTGGGTATACATAGGTGAGGAGTAGGAGGGAGGGGGGGGTTTTGGTTGGGAGGTGACCACGATTATTGGTGACCCCAATAAGTTGAGTTGGCCAACTTATTGGGGGTCCAATGATCCTAGCCAAGATTATTGGTGGGTCCAATAATCTTGGTTGGGATTATTGGGGGCTCCAATAATTGGGAGCCCAACCAATTTGGGAACCCAACAAGGTTGGGAACCCAACCCCCAACTTGGGTGTATACACCCTAGTGGGGTGCTTATAAGTACCTAAGACAATGAAACGATGTAGGCTAATAGAATGAAGGGAGAATATTCTAACATAGCTGCCTTCCGCTGCGGGGTCAATGAGGCCGAGGCCTCCTATGGTGATCGGCAGGGTCGCCTGACGCCAGAGGAGGTCTCGGCCTTCAGCGTCCCGTGGCTGCTGGAGCTCGCATGACTTGAGCGCAGCTTCCAGTAGGGACTTCCCCCACTGCGTCCATTCCTCGGGGGGGAGGAGGTCGGTGGGGGTGGTGCGGAGGAGGTAGGATGCACTCCTCGTGATGCAGCGGGTGAGGAGCAGCAGCGCAACTTGCGGGTGCAGTTGCAGGGGGAGCGCCGCTGCCGCTTTTTCGAGCGTGCGGCGGATGATGTTCCCGCATCCGTGGGTGGTGCCGATGGGGCTGCCCAGGACCTTGATTGCGTCGTGGGTGAGTGGTACTCCGGCAGGGATGAGCGCGGGGTCCACCGGTGCGGGTGACCAAGCTGCGCACTTGCTGGCGTTGCAGGTGAGTCCAACCGCTGCTGCCCGACCCGTGAGGGCATAGAAGGCGGCTGCGCAAGCCGGCAGCGGGCCGATGATGGTCACGTCGTCGGCGTATGCCAGTAGGAGGACGTCCGGGTACTCCTCTACTGTCATGCTCAGCGCCTGGTGGAGGGCGAGGGCAAACAGCATGGGGCCCAGCGGATCGCCTTGGCGTACGCCCCGCTCGCTGATGAGCGGGTCGGCGCCAAATGCGTGGTCGAGCAGCAGGCTCGATGGCCTTCCATAAGAGAGGCGGGTTAGGGGCAGCAGCCCTTTGAGTGGGTTGTCGCGTAGGGCGCGGAAGAAAGCGGTGCGTTCGACTGAGTTGAACGCGTTGGAGAAGTCCACCTAGAGGAGCAGGTGTTCGGGGTGCTGTTCGAGGTGGGTTCTTGTTGCGTGCACCACCGTTTCGCCCCCTCCCTTCATCGCCACTCCTAGCTGCAGGGGCGCGAAGTGGGCTTGGGCCAGGGTCGTCGTGAGGTGCAGGCTGGCCTTGCCGAAGAGGCGTAGTAGGCACTCGCCGATGGCGATGGGCCTGGTGCCGCCGTCGGGTTTGGTGAATGCCAGCAGTCTCGAGGCGGTGAGGAGGTCCGCCGCCTCTAGCGGCACTTGCCCTGCGAGTGCCGCGTTGGTCACTTCTGTGAGCAGATTCAGGATGTCGGCGTTCGAGGCGGCTGCGTCCCTCAGATGTTCGAAGCACATGCCGCTGGGCCCCGCCCCGACTCCGTTCGGGTTCCGTCGTAGTACGGCTTTGAGCTCCCGTGGTGTGATGGTGAGACGCGGCGGGTGCGGCGCTGTATTGGCGTCGGTGGGTGTTGTGCTTGTGAATGTCGCCCAGTTGGGGAGGGCATGTTCGGCGGCGGGGTGTTTGTCTCGGAGGGCGTGAAGTGTCTCTAGGGTGGGTTCGCACACCGGGGTGGATTCCAGGGCTTGGAGGGCCTTCCGCAGGTTCCCGCGCTTAGTGAGTGTTTCCGCTCGGGCTAAGTGCCCGGCGGTGTCATTCGCGTGGCGTGGGGGTCGTGGTAGTGAAATCGAGGTCACGGCCTCGTCGTACAGTGCCTCCCAGGCGCCTGTGGCGAATTTGCGACAGCGTCGTAACATTCCATCCCAGTCCGGATTCCTTGTCGACGTGGTCGCGAGGGTCAGGCGAGGGAGGAGGAGTAACAGGCGCCAACCTCCTATGCTGTCCCTGTTACGTGCGAGGTGCAGCAGTGGTGTCAGCAGGCAGGACGCGAACTCCGCCAGGATTTCGCGCGGTAGGCGACGTGCCAGGGGTGGGAGCCTGGAGTCGCGGAGCAGGGTCATGTCCCACTCGCACACTTTGGCGAAGAGTTCGTCGTTCTTCGCTAACGCCAGAGGGGATTGTACCCGCGCTGCAGAGGTTGGTCTGCGGGCGACTGTCGAGCCGCGGCGGGTGTTGGATGTGGCGGCTCGCCGGTTGGATTGGCCCGGCCGCACATTTGCGTCTCGGGCGGGGGAGTCCTCCAAATCTCCCTCGTCTAGGGCGCCTTCCCAGTTTACCCCGATTGGAGGGGTATAAGTGGGGTCGTTGAATTGCATCGTCCTCATCATCAGCTTCCTCCGTGTTCCCTTCCGCTGGTCCCCGCGTAGCTCCTCCTCCTGGTGTGTCTGCGATTGGAGTGTCAGCACTTGGCCAATTTTCCATCCCTTGGTCGGTCCCTCCGCCTCCGCCTGCTTCTGACTCCGTCGCTCCATTAACGTTGGGTGCTGCAGCGGCTGGGTGTGGTCCCCGGCGCAGTTCGTCGCGTTGTAGGCGCGCGGCGACGCCGCGGAAGGTTGTAGCGCCTGTCGACGCTCGCCCGAGCCCTTGTCCGCCCCTCGTTCCTCTGTATCCTCGGGTTGTGCTTCTCGTTCGCTCCCCCCCCGGGGCCGCGGTTGTACTTGCGCGGGCCGTGGCTCGCGTGTGTGGGGCTCTGCTTCTTTCCGGCTGCGCTAGAGATGACGCAGGGGTTGCTCTTCTCCCCCTCGCGCCTGCCCCTACGTGAGGCGGAAGCGTCCCCGTCGCCGGTGGGTTCTCCTTCCGGCGTCTCGCTGGCTCTGTCGCCAACGTCCCAGCTGCGCCTGGAGTTTCGGCAGCAGCAGGTCCAGGTGGCAGCGATCGCGAGCGCTCTCGAGCAGCTTCTGCGGCTGCCTCGGTCCGCTGTCGGCGACCGGGTCGCGTGTCTCCGCCGTCGCCTGCGCCCGCGCCCGCGATTGTACGAGAGGGTGTCGCAGGAAGTCCCATGGATCGCTCCCTGCTTCGTCCGTCTGCCCTGTCGCCGGCTCAGCCGGCGTCGTTTCCTTCTCCGTCTCGGCTTCCGCCGTCGCCCCTTCCGCCGTCGCCCCTTCCAGTCCCCCCGGCCCCTCCGGCTCCCCCTCCGTCGAGGGGGTTCGCCGGTGGTCCCGACCCCTCTCCCCGCGGGGTCCTCCAACCGCCTCCTCTGCCTCCTCCAAAG